AGAAAAATATATGTACTTTAATTTAAATTTAAATTATTATTAATTAATTCTATTTTATTTTTTAACAAAATCTTCCTTAAAGATTAATAGTAAAATAAAGCTAAATTATTAATAACCGATTCTATTACATTTTTTACACAGAATTTTTCTTAAAGATTAATGTAGTAAAATTAAGCTAAATTATTAATAACCGATTTTATTACATTTTTTTACGCAGAATTTTTCATAAAGATTAATAGTAAAATAAGACTAAATTAGTAATAACCAATTCGTTTTCTATTTTTTACGCAAAATCTTCCGTAAAAGATTAATAGTAAAATATCTTAATGAATATTTTCCTTATACTGCTTATTGATTCTTTTTCATTTTTCAGAGTGTAGAAAACATTCACATGAATAATATTTCATTCTATTATTTTCCATATTTACATATTATTATTAATTTTCTTTCCAATATTATTATTAATTGTTTGGGGGTACGACTTCCTTCCATTCTTTTTCATTTTTTTCATATTATTATTAATTGTTTAGGCGGGAGCTTGTAAAGGATGATTTTTTTTATTAATTAATATAGAATATTAATATAGATTAATATAGAATATACATTACTAATTAAAATAAGTTTTTTTTAAAAAAAAATATTATATTGAACAATAATATTACCAATTATTATTATTATTATTATTATTATTATTATTATTATTATTATTATTATTATTATTATTATTATTATTATTGGTTCACATAGTTGAATTATTTATTTTTTATTTAATTATTATAAACATAAATGATATTTTACTAATTAATTTATGATATTTATCAAATTGTATTTTTTAAATATAGTGTTTTATCCATGCATTACACGAAATTTTATTTTTGTTATTATGAATTTAAAATAAAAATAGAAAAAATAAAAAGATGTTAAAATGTACAATATAATAATATAGTTGAACTTTTATATATTTAGTCAAGTATTTATTTCATAACATACAAAATTAAAATTTAAATTTTGTATGGTTAATATATTCTCTAATCATGTACATATTTAGATAAATTTATAGAAAAAATTCATATAATTAAGTTGATTTATTCCAAATTGTATTTCATATGTATATATGAAATTTAAAAATATGAATAATAAAAACTAAGAGAATTGTACTTAGAAATCAATAAAAAAAAATGTAAATTTTAAATTTTGTATGAATAAATAAATATTCTAATCGGACGCATATCCTTATATGATTGTATAATACTTTGTATATACACATAATATTTATTAATATGTATATAGGAAATTCCTATAATATAATTTCATTAATTATAATTTATATTGATAGATTTATACTTAAAAAATTATATTTAGAAATTTAAAAAGTATATGTATGTATATTTTAAAAAAAAATTATAAATATTCATGTTTTGTTAATTTTATAATTTTATTTCTTTAATTATATTTCATATTTTATTAATTATAATTTAATGAAAGTGTCACAAATATGTCTACGGAAGAAATCATATATTTCTCAATTTCATTAATTATATTAATTATTATTACCAAATATTGTGGCAATTACCACAATAATTTCATTAATTATAACATTTGTTTTCTTTCAATATTTAAATACATTATCATAAAATTACCATAATAATAACACAAAAGAAGGAAAGAAAAATTATGAGAATAATCTATATCTATATATATTTAAAAGTAAAATCCTCCTAACCAAGTTTATCCCCAAAACTTAGGGGCATATATATATAAATTACATATTTACCATATATGCATATTTTGTGTCTATATAGTATAATTTTTGGTATCAAACATTTGAATGGTAATAAACGGGGGGAAATGTCAACATACAAATGATAATTCTTTCATTTCTATACTAATTTTAATGGTAATTCATTAATTACTATATTTCACGATGAGTCAGCCTGTTCATGCCCATCATTTTTCAAGAAACATAGAAATGAAATAGTCAATTATTAAAATTGTTTATGATTTCATTTTTAATTTTTGTCTAAAGTTAAAGATATATATTATCGGTGATTATAACATTTTTTGTATTAACTGAAAATTTGAAAGTTTTACCTTTTTTGAGATCTCTTACCATTTTATAATTTCAATATTATGCGATTTTGAACTCATCCATGGTGTACAAATACACTCTTTATGACCATACAAAATCCATTGAGGAGACATTTGTACTGAAGAGTAAACTTCTCCTTAAACTAAATTCGGGTGTCAAGAAAATCTCCGTTTTCATTCATAATGATATTCCTATTTCTGAGTCTCTCATCACTGTTTGGTACATCAATGATGTCTAGATTTCTGGGTCTTCCATTGTTCCCTTTGATCCTTATGATTGTGCCATTGCCAGTATTTTTTTATTTGGGTTCAGTACAACGTGGATTTTTTTGGGAGGTTTCTCTAATTAAATTTTTGGTTAAAAATTTATATTTCCTTTGTATTTTATTTTATTACTTATTTATTTATTTATACTAATATGTGAATGGAGTAACACAAAATCTGAAATTGTATTTGTTATTTATTTCTTCTTTTTAAATAATCATTATTTTTGTGTTTTACAAAAATTTAGAAAAAATCAAATATAGCGAGATTTTTAATAGGTTAAACAAACACTCTATTCAAATGATATATATAAAAATGTTGTGAAATGCTGTAAAATGAACTCTGTTTGGTAAAAAAAAAAAACATAGAAACTTGAATGACATGTACAAATCTCGAAGTCAACATACTAACTCTAAGTTTCAGAAAATCTTACAAAATTATCAAAATTACCGTCTTTATCATCCTCGATCGATCGCATCTCTACAATCTTCCATAAAAACTAAACCAATAGGGTTCTGTTACAAATGCTCTTCCTCCTCAATTTCCTTTTGTTGAAGCAGATCCTCCTTAAGTATCTTCAAACTCATACCAGATGATATAAACTGCAAAACATATTGAAATATGTGAGAATATAGTTAGAAAAATGTAGAAAATTCATACAAAAAGAAAGCAGAGAGATGAGTCTGAGATTCTTTGATTGAAGAAGCCATTGTATTTATAGGTAGAAAATACTAATTCAAAAGGAAAGTATAATAATTTATTTATTTAAGGGAAAGTATAATAATTTATTTATTTAAGGTAATAACATTATTATTATTATTTATTTATTTACTTATTTATTTATTTTCCATTTGACATTTACTTACCAAATAAGTTTTACTACAAAAGTTTTGGGGGGAAAATTTGTTAGGAGGATTTTACTTTTATATATAGATAGATAGATAGATAGATAGATTTAATAAGAGTAAAATAGAGTACTAATTATGCCAACTTTGATTGGGATGAGGTTCGAACCTAAGACTTTTTTGTTTTGTTTTTTTTTGTTTTGTTTTTTTTTTTTTTTTTATTGAAATCAATGAGTAAGTTAACGGTGAACTAACGGCTATTCTTAAAATTTTAACGGAATTAGTAACGGTGTGTGGGTATTTTCGGAAATTTTAGTGTAAAATTTAAATCTGATCAATCTTTTAATCAATCTGAGCCATTCATTTGATTAAAATCTGTGACCGCCATTTTTTCTACCCATTATAGGCCTAACTCTCTTGGGCTCTTATTAATATAGTAGATATAGTAGATATAGTAGATCTTATTAGTATAGTAGATATATAGTATATAGTAGATGTTGTCTTATGTTGTTTTGCCTATATCAACTCACTCAACAACAACTTTTATCAAATATTTTTAATTTTAATTATCTATATAAAAAAAATATTTCAATTATTTCTAACAGTTAATTTTTCAATCTTCAAATTAAAGCAGCTTTTCACCAACACAAAACTTGATCACCAACAAAAAAACAGAAATGGAATGCCACGTTTTAGAAATGAGATAATATGGTGGCGGGGAGAGCATATAAAGGATATGATTAAATTAAGCACACCGCCATCGCTATTCATTAAGGAGCGTGGTCCATTCACTCCAATTATTTATTGTGTTGATGTTGATTGCCATGCATGCATGCACGCACTTTGATTTATTCTTTTATTATTTTTTATTAAAATAATGTGTATAATTTATTAATTAAAATTAAACTATTTAAGAAATATTTTTAATACAATCACAAATATAAAAATCATTAAAGACCAATGATCTTATTAAAAAAAAAAAGATCAGCCAAGACCAATGACCAATCAATACACAATTAAAAATTTTTACTTCATTTAAAAAAAAAAAAAACCAACTTTTAAAACATGATTCTATTAATTGTCTAATTTTAAAAGAGTTAAATTACTGGACCAATTTTGAGTGATTTGTCAAATTACTGGACCAATTTTGACTGATTTGTCAATTAAAATATTGGACCGATTGTGACAGATTTGTCAATTAAATTATGGGACCAATTTTGACAGAGTTGTCAATTAAATTACGGGACCAATTGTGACAAATTTGTCAAGTAAATCAGTGAAATTAGTGTTTGATAATAGTGAATTACATTAACATTAGGCCAGAAAGTTAACATCTAAATCAGTAAAAATAGTACCATTATTAACTGTTATTAGCTCGAGCCTCAGTGGAGACGTTATTAGCTCTTTGTGTTTCAGTAGGTTGAGAAAGTATATGAACAGATACTACATTGTAATAGAGCTAGTAGCATTCAAAAAAAAAAAAAACTGTTATACGCTAATATAATCCGCTAATTTCGCAAACAAGATCTTAGTTCAAAAGACTATTTTGCAGTAATTTATATAACTAGCATTCATCACCTGATCGTGTACACGAAGTAAACCATACTTTGTGATCTTTTTTGAATGCTACTAGCTCTATTACAATGTAGTATCTGTTCATATACTTTCTCAACCTACTGAAACACAAAGAGCTAGCTAATAACGCCTCCACTGAGGCTCGAACTTACAACCTTCCAAATGGAACTAGCTCTATACTTTGTGATCTTAGTCACTGGAAAATCACTTATAAATACTTCAGTTACTGATGATATAGTGACATACAGCATTCCCATTATTTCTCCTAAATAAGCAAAAACCCTCTTTTGTTCTCAACTACTTACGATGGCTTCTTCTTCTGTTCGTTTGGTTGCAATTGCCTCACTCTTGGTGATGCTCTTCATGGCCTCTGGTTTGCTCTCTCACTTTCTGATTTTCTCCATTATTATTATTATTATTATTTTTTGATGATTGATATGAGTGCCAATTATCGGATCTGATCTAATTCTGCAGGGATGGGAACAATGGCTGCCGGTACCAGAATGTGCACGTCGCAGAGTGAACACTACAGGGGGAATTGTCTTTTAATCAACCAAAATTCCCGCAACAACTGCAATAGAATTTGCAGGGATACAGAGGGGTTTACCTCCGGGGATTGCACCATTACCGCTCAGGCAAGGCGCATCTGCAGCTGCTTCATGCCTTGCCATTGCTAAATAACCAACATTGCTTGCTTCAACTTCAATTCGATCAGTGTTTTTATATATATAGCTAAATAAATGTCCCAAATAATATAATCCAAACATGCATGTGCATGCATGGTACCTGGAGTTTGTCTTCGGGATTTCAGTTCTTTGGTAGCTGCCATGCTCTGATTCTCTCATGTTACGTTGTTTGTATGTAGTGTGTTTCGATCGTTTGAAGTTATGCAATTTCTAATCTGTGTTTTCTAATATGTTATTTTTATACATATAGTACAGTGTTGAGCATTATAGCTTCCCCTTGGTTGCCTATATCCTTCTTGGTCTTCAGTAATCCTCTTGTTGATATCTTGCTTGAGAATACATCATATTGGACCAACCTACAATCACAATGACAAGAGAAAGATTTTGCAACTCAAAGTAGTGTAATGAAAATTTCAAGTAGAGCAAACCAACAAATGAAACAACACACTAAGACATATTCAAAAACAAATACAAAATAGGTGCAAACGAACAAAAGAGACAAAAACAAGCTAAGGTAAAGTGCAAACACAGAGTAAAAGGGGTGAAATGTTAGATATTAGTGTGAACTAACATAAACTTGAATAACGAGGAACCTGACACGTGCTAGCGGAAGCTTTAGGACCTTCTGAATATCCCTCATCATAGTCGTAGGAATTTCCGATCATGATGGTAAACTTGCAGAATAGACGTTAGTGTTTGTCTACCACTTCTCTCCTGAATACCTGATGGTGGTGTATGTTGAACACGGGAGCTGTGGGAGGACTATTTTACTTAGAAGCCTACATATCATCAACATATGCAGATATTCAGTTAAAGCCACACTGAATATCCTCAGTTACCTAATAGATTAAGTCACCAGTTGACTCAATCTCCTACTTGCACCACAGCCACCCAATAATACAATATATTATAATATACTATATTTAGGAAAATAATTACATTCTCCTACTAGGTGCAAGTACTGGCAGAACCATCATTAAAGAACAAAACACACAAACCATAGTTCCTTAATGGATGTTTCTCAAAAATGTATATGCGAAACTAAAAGAAACCATCCAAATTCTACAAAAGAGTACATTGTATGATCTTTAAGATCCTTAAAAAGAATGCATTAAATAGAGATCTCTTAATGTTAGCATAAGGCTAACTATATTCTATGACTTCTTTATAAGTTAACTTAAACACTACCTCTAACGGCTATGAGTTTGGAGTTGACATGTCTGTTACTCCCACTCATCAAAATAGCCAAAAGATAGTCACAAAGCATTCCAATAACTTAGACAACAAACCAAAAGTCTAAATCCATAAATTTGGAAACTTAAACATACACCATAACTTCCCAAATAATCTCAAGGTCCACCTCAAAATTAACTTAAAATTACGAGTCCTACTTATATGTCTTGTAAAATTACGAGTCCTACCCAGGATCAATTTTGAAGAAACTAAAGACTCTATTAATTGCTAAAGAATTTATTAATTGACAGTTCACCACAAGTTAAATGCTTTCGTTCTAATGAATTCCTTAATATTATTACAACATTTTCATAAATATGTTGCACAACCAAGCGTTCAATAAATTTGAACTTATGAATTATAAGAACAAAACTTAGATTAATACTTGTGGAAACTTTTAGACTTATTGTTAAATGCACAATTCAATTTAGAATGTATGAAGAGTTAAATCAATTAGCTTTGTGGTGGATCCCTGTTGTCCCATTTGTCTCGCCGGTCCTGAAACTATGGATCATATCTTCTTTGAGTGTTCAGAGGTAAAGGATGTTTGGCTTGGCACGTTAGACCTCTCACTACAAGCTCAAGTAAGTTTTGAATTGTGGCTCTCCTCCCTCTTTGAACAATCTGATGCCGCAAAAATTTGCAAAAGTCTAGCGATATGCTGGAATGTGTGGAAAAGACGCAACGAATGGGTTTGGAATAGGAGGCTGTGGTCGATGGAAATGCTGAAGCAATCGGTGGATAGTTGCGTGTTGGAATGGCAGTCGTACAGTGCAGCCTCATCCCCCAAAATCAGCAATCATACGACATTGAGTAGCAGTTTAGTAGTTCCGCCTCTGACTTGGGTAGTGAAGGTGGATGCATCTCTACAGCAGAATGGTGATATTGGTTTCTACGGGGTTGTGGTCTTTGATGATGGCGGGAGATATGTGGCAGCCAAAAGTGGTCTTATCCGCTGTTTGAAAGACCCCCATCTTGCTGAAGCCATGGCTATCAAGGAAGCTCTATCTTGGATACTCTCACAAGGCTGGCGAAAAGTTATTATCCATTCGGATTGTCAGATGGTTTGCAGGTTTATTAATCATGATCTCCCGGATTCCTCATATGCAGGCAATATTATCAATCAATGACGGGTTCTAAAACGACACTTTGAAGCAGTGTCTATTGAGTTTATTTCTCGATCAGCGAACACATGTGCTCATGCTTTAGCTAGAGCTGCTAATGTTCATTCTGGTCATGTTACTTGGTTTTCTTCGATTCCTCCATGTATTGAACAATTTATCGGTTAAGTTTGAATAAAGTCGTTCTTTAAAAAAAAAAATTAGCTTTAGTAGAGTATTTTAATGACCTTTTTTCTAAATGATCACTCCCACTGATTAAGATATTTGATATTTTTTAGCCAAACTATTAAAGATGTAGCACTCATAATTGATTTGACCAACTAAATAATGAGGATATAATTCCCCACCATTAGTTGGGCATACTAAATAATCAATATTTGGTTCTAATTATAGTCCAACTAAAGGAATAACTATTGATGACATAATTCTCCACCATAGTTGGACATACTAAAATAATAAAATACGCCTCCCAAAACCAAGTTGAAATCTGGCTCAAAAGATACATTTTATTATTGGAATCCAAAAGTGGTATATATCATACCATGCAACTTACTATAGCTAGTCCAAATAGCCAAGTAAGCTTCGTGAAACAATATAATTAATAAAAGATGCTTAAATTTTGGAAAGTAACTAAATACATGTTTTGTCAATGCAAACCATGAAACTTAAAATTATAATTGAACTAAATTTATAAATTCTAAGAAATTGAGATAAAATTATTATCTAATGGGTTGATGAATTTATTGATATAAAACTTGCATGTGGGCTAAAGTTTTAATTCGATCTATTAAATCCAATTATGAAATCATTATGATAATATTTTAATCTCAATTACTACAGAGCCAGAAGAATTTAGTGACATAAAACTTGCAATCATTATTGTGTGGACCATGGTCCATACAAGTTGTGTGGACCATATTTTATATACTAAAATAATGTACATTCAGTACAAAAATAATGTACACTCAACACAAAAATAATGTATATTGTATTCAGGGGATGTACATTATTTTTGTACTGAGTGTACATTATATTGTATAATGTACACTCAGTACAAAAATAATGTACATTTAGTATATTAAAAATATATTTTTTGTTATGGTCCACATAACACTGTGTGAACCATGGTCCATACAATAATTTGCCTAAAACTTGCTTGTGGGCTAAAGTTTTACTCAATTAGATCCAACTGAAATTTTATGATGAAACAATTATCAAATGAGTTGAAGAATCAAGTGACATAAAACTTGTCTGTAGGCTAAAGTTTTAATTCAATTAGATTCATTACAACCATTATGATAAAAACTTAAGAGATCATGTTCCTTTTCTCAATCCCTGTGGGCAAATTAAGACAGAGTAGCGTTGCAAGGGGACTAGTAGCAACAAGACTTTTAAGCTAGGGCCATAGAACTAGTATTCCTCCCCAAGAAACTTCCTTAAGTCGTGCGCTCTCATGTTTGAAGTAAATCGTTTGGGAGATCTATAAGATTGTAGGTTCAACCATGAATACAACTTTAAATTGATGAACTAAATTAACGAACTAAACGTGCTTAAATTCAGGCAGTACCCCAACTAATTTTATGCATAAAGTTCAACTTAATAAGAAACTATATCCATTCTCAAACTATGATTTCTAAAGGCATAATAAATCCCATAATTTAAAATAAAATGTTATGCTTAGAACAGATATACATACAATTAAATAATAAACTCATATATTTCAAATAAATTGCATAACTGAAAACAATTTTTAATATGAGCAATGACATCAAAATATACAATTAATATTCAAAACTAGTATGACTTCTAATCAAAAGAAATTCAAAATTTGAATAATAATGTAATAGATATGCTCGCATGAGTAGCTCAACTGGTCATAGAAGTGAAAGTTGGAAAGAATAACTATGTGAAAAACTTATCAACTCACTCAACAACAACTTTTATCAAATATTTTTAATTTTAATTATCTATATAAAAAATATTTCAATTTCTAACAGTTAATTTTCAATCTTCAAATTAAAGCAGCTTCTCACCAACAAAAAAATACAGATGGAATGCCACGTTTTAGAAATGAGATAATATGGTGGCAGTGGAGAGCATATAGAGGATATGATTAAATTAAGGAGTGTGGTCCATTCACTCCAATTATTTATTGTGGTGAAGTTGGATCTCATCCAATTCAATTGAATTTGTGACAAACATTATCTTACGAAATGAACACAACACTGACAACATTTAATTCAAACAAACAAACCCATCAAATGGTCCCCCCTTAATCGAATTTGAAAGCATCCAATTCACCCATTAATGCTTACCCCCAATACCACCAAAGAATGTGTACAAACCCCTATTATGACACGTTTAAAACAGTAAACATTGAATTTTAATGGCAAATGCTTATATTTCTTAGAACATCTACATCAGTGTATATTTCACAGTTTTAAAGGATAAAAGTGTCAACATGAAAAAGAGGGGTGGAGAAAGAAGCATTATGTTTTTGTCAATTTGCAGCATTCTTTTTGCTTTTTATTATTTTTTTTCTTTTTAGTCTCAACCTTATCTCACATTCTCTTTCTTAATCATTCTTACATTCTCCCCCTCATATCCCCAACTGATAATGTTGCTCTTATGAAAATTACTATATAATATTAATTACATTATTTATTTATTGTTTTATTATATACCTTTTATATTTGATTATTGTATGAACTATTTATTAATTTATAATGAGATCAATATATTCACAAATATAATGGTTAATGAAAATAAATATTTTTTAATTAATAATTACTACAGTAATATTTTTTTAGCAACACTCATGGTTCTATACTTCTATACAAGATAGTGTATGTTAATCAGCAGAGTTCGATTTTGTGACCAACAATTTGAAATTGTAATAGAATTACTATTTAATTACTGTTAAAAATTATGGAATTTCCGACCACCTGAAAGTGATCTTAAATCAAGTCGAAAGTCTTGTTCCGACCACTTTTGGTATCTGGAAAAACCTTTGTTGCTATTTCCGACCACTTTTTGCTTTCGACTTGATTTAAGATTACTTTTAGGGGGTCGGAAATTCCATAATTTCCAGTAGTGATAATAAAGAAGAATATTGGTCCTGTTTGCAATCATTATTGTGTGGACCATGGTTCACACAAGCTGTATGGATCATATTTTGTATGTTATAAAATAATGTACTTTTAGTATATTAAAAATATACTTTGTATTCAGGAAAATTACATTATTTAAATACTAAAAGTGAATTATTGTTTATAATGTATATTCAATACAAAAATAATGCAGTTTGACGAAGCCCATACTAGCTTTGTTGATGAAACGCAACACTGTTGACGAAGCCCAGAAGAAATGGAGAGCTATGGCAATTGAAGATTGAAGAATGGAGAGCTAATTTGAGCACGTCTGTGAACTGAGGAGAAGGAACGAATGACATATTGGGTTTTGAGCAAATATATCCCATGTCATTAACAATATTAGAGAAAATTGTAAAAAACGTCTCTCTATAATATGCCAATTATCAATATCACCCCTGAATTATGAGTGGTGTAAATGTTGCCCCTCAATTATTAAAACGGTGCACATATAGCCCCTCCCATAACAGACACGTAGTTCCCCGTTAGTGTACGACATCGTTAAGTTAGAGTAAATATGTAATTTTGTTGTTTTTTCTCTCTATTGATTCGAAGTACCAGCGATGGACAGTGGTGGGGAACCACAGGTCTGTTATAAGAGGGGCTATATGTGCATCGTTTTGATAATTGAGGGACAACATTTACACCACTCATAATTTATGGGTGACATTGATAATTGACATATTATAAATGGGCATTTTTTACAATTTTTCCCACAATATTATTTTTCACGTCAACCAGCTAGATAGGCAACTGGTTAGCAACCTGCGAAAAAAGTCAATCGAACAAATTTAGCTTGTAAGTGTAATTATTTAGACTATATTTTAGTTCGTGGTGAGAATTGAGCACTTCGAATTGAAGTAGTAAATGAGCCTAATAAATATGACATGTAAAATGTGACAGAGGGTAAATAAAGTAACTCTAAATTAATCAAGAAAAATGTATCAAATATCCAAAAGTCTTTGGCCCTATTTGATAAATAGTTGTTAGCTGATAGCTATTTGTTGTTAGTTAAAATCAAAAATGAAAATTAAATAAAAAATCTAAATACATGTGATATCGGGACATACCCCTAAATACAAACGCAGAAAACCATCTCAAAAGTCAAAACGAGAGGTTAATTCCGTGGAGATCCAAACTCTCGTCAGGATAGGCTAAGGATTAATCATTATTTATTTGTATTTAATCCAGAGCCCATCATACAAAGGGTTGTGACGAGAGATGGGGCAATTTATATCCTGCACCAGGGCGCGCATTGCATTGTGCGCCCTGATGCAAAACGACGTCGTTTCAGTTTTTTTTTTTTTTTTTTTTTTTTTTTTTTTTTTTTTTTTCGAAATTTCGCTGCTCTCTGTTGGCGGTTAATTTTCTTTAAAAAAATTCTCATGTTAAAAAATTATATAATTTTATACTAGAATACACATAATTGTATACATGAATGTACATAATTGTATAACAAAATACACATACTCTTTTTTAAAAGATAATACACATAATCTAACATAATACATAATAAACATAAACTTTTAACATAATACACATCAGCTCTTAACATAATATACAAAAATTTCCTGATTCGGATATACAAAATTGTATAAATAAAATGTACATAATTGCATAAAAAATGTACATAATAAAAAATACACATAATTGTATAAACAAATACACATAATCACGTCAACTCCCTACCGCGCCTCCCAAAACGACGTCATTTTGGGAGGCGCGGTGCGCATAGTGCTACGCACGTCGTGGTGCAGGGTATAACGATCCCGAGAGATGGACGGGAAAACATATGAGCCAAAATAAAATAAACACAAGTCAATAGGAACAATTTTAGCCCAGCCCGTGCACACAGTTAGCCCACATTAGTGGGCCAATCAAAAAAGTCAACACGAACTGGTCCAAGTTACCACCAGCGACTTCTCATGCAACGTAACTCCATGCAGCACGAATGAGATTCCTTCCAAAAACAATGAGGTGAGATTCGAACCTCATTAGCTGTTAGTTGATTGGGTTAATTAGGAGGTATAACTAGTTGATCACATTAGCTAATTGTAGAAAAGTGTTTGGTAAATTAGTTGTTAGTTGTTTGGTATAAATTCTTTTTTTCAAAAAGCTAATTGAAAAAGTTGTTTTGTGCATTTTTTTTGAATTTTAACATTTTGGAGTTACAAAAAGCTAATTAACCAAACATTGAGAATCCCTGCACGGGATATTTCCTTTGAGCAAGCCACAATCAATTCTCTAAATTCCACACATTCTGTGATAACTGGTCTTTCCAAATCAATGGAGAATCTGCTTCAAGACATGATGTTAGTTCAGTCCAATCAACTCAAGTTTGAAGAGAATCAAGAGAAGATTCTAAAAGAACATCACAACATGAAGCACTCCAATTTCAATCTAAAGGAAAGGGTCGACTTTGCTTGCACAAAGCTGGATATGGTTCATGATGACCTGTTTCGAGTTGGTGAAAACCAGATGGCCACTTTAAATTATGTCAAAGACATCTCACTTTTTCTTCAGACTCTTACTCAAACCTTAAACTCGGCACCAGATGATGCCAAAAAGGGGGGAAAGTAGAGACATGGAAGAAAGAGACGAAAGGAAAGACAGATGTAACTCGAGTCAAGGAGGAAACAATTCCAATAGACCTATGCTACCTCCTGTCACAGACAAAAACAATCGACCTGTCTATCCTCAGCCATCTCGAGACACTTACAGAGCAAATCAAAAGCAAAGACAGCAACTTTGTTAGAAGTGGATGCGTGACAAATCCGTAACAATTGATGTAGAAGGAAACTTCCTCTCCTTTGAACCCTACATAGTAGGAAGTGGCAAGCGCTTTGAAGGTTGCAATATGCCAATCCATCTGAAAGGTAGAGACAATCAAGCCAGACAAGAATACCAAAGATCCAGAAACAAAGAGATCAGAGGGCATTACAAGAAATTTCACATTTAGTGACAACAGAAGTTGTCACTGAAACTATCAATTTTGGTCACTATTGAAATTAGTGACCATTTTTTGAAGTCGTCACCTGTCGTCACTATATCCTCCATCACTATTGTAGTAGTGACGACTTTTGAAAAGTTGTCACAATTACTCACTATTTTGTGACAATATTTACTTTCACTACAAGTAGTATTTGAGTGATAACGATAGTTATCAGAATAAATGTATAATTTGTGACCAAATATGTTATTACAAAATATTGTTCTAGTGACAACTAAAATCGTTGCAATTAATTATTTTATTGTTATTAGTGACCTAAAAGGTAGTAACCAATTAATAGGCTGAACTCGGGGTCAACCCGATGGACCCCCAACAATCCAGCACCCCCCACCCTGCCCCGGGACTAGACATGGCTCGACCTACGCCCAACCCATTTGGATCAATTCGTACCTGTGACCTCAACTCTAATACCAATTGATATATCCTGTAAGTCAAGCACGCTTAACTTTGGAGTTCTTTGGTTGTCTGTTGTCATATCCTTCTTAAAGCTAATTAGTGATAAGTATGAGCTTTTTAACATTTGTAATAAAATGAATTGGAACAGTTTAACTTGCGAAATTGTTTGTTAAATAGCTTCCGTAAATGATAATGAACTTATATGTCACAAAAAAAAGAAAGTAAAAAAAATGAGCGATTACAAAATGTATTTAATTTTCACAATTACATTTATTTTAAGAATCACTAACTAGTTGCATTTAATTGACCATAATATTTAATATTTAGTTCACAACAAATTACTTTGGCACCAACTTGAATGCAATTTTAGTGGCAAACATTGACTACAACATAACTTCACACAATATTCTTCTATTTAATTATAGTGACAAAATCATTGTAATAAATAATTACTTATCACAATTATCATAACATTAGTGACAAAACTTGAATTCAACATAATTATTGTTACAATTTAGTAATTTTTGTTTAGGAAATAATAGAGCGTCACAAATTAAATATTTGTAACAATTTCATAAAAAAATGACAATATGAGTGACAATAATTTTTTTTCTCACAATCGTATCTCATTTCTAAGTGTATTTTTATTGACAAAAAGAGTTGTCACAAATATATAAAACAAAGTGACCAACAACAATTTGTCACAAAAAAGTACCAAAATTTGTGTGTTACACTATATTTTGTCACAATTACTTCTGTTCCCACTATAATTATATTGCCGCCAAAAGACACATACATTTAGTGACAACAAATAGTGACAACTTAGGTTACGACACTATCATTCTAATAATAGTGACAACATATTTGTAACAAATACTTACTTGTCACAATTACTATACTATCTGTGACCAAAAAAATAGTTGTCACAATTATCATAAGCAATAGTGTTGAACATTTTTTTAGTCACAAAAAGAGTATTATTTATGACTAAATTACAAAGTGTCACAAAAAATTTGTCACTAAATGTCTTAATTCTTGTAGTGGGGAAAAATGAAAAACAACATCTTGAGGAAGAAGAAATCAAGAGGAAGAGAGAACAAGACCTCGCATACTTTCAAGAAGCGCAGGAAAAGATAAAAGATCTTAGAGCTATTGGAAAAGATGCTGATCTGGCTGCTAAGCATAGTGCTGTATTCAAAATCCATGAAGAATCATGTAAAAGCTATGTCGAAGGATTGAACTCCATAGAACTTGTTTTCTGGTGGAACAATGGAGTCATTCCAGGCCGAAAAATTTTAGAAGCTTACAACAACTATATGAGCTACACCTTGTCTGCTAAGTGTGCGGAAGTGGCCCGAGATAAAGATATCCGAGCATTCAGAAAACTCATAAATGATGAGCTTGACTATCAGAAGATGATAAAAGATCAAGAAGCCAAAGATAAATAGGCCCAAAGATAAGAAGCTCTACCGATAGAGAAATTGGTAAACATGTAATAGCTACTTGTTTCATTTCCTTTTTGTAAAATGAATTTAACATGAATGAAATCTATCTTTCTGCGGGTTGTGTTGAGTTTTTATTTCTTTAAATTACTTAGACTTCTCTTGTAAACTCAACTATATGGTTGTTTTGTAATGATAATCCTTTCTGGATAATTTCAGCCTTTTAGTTAGAGTATAGATTTTGGCATCATCAAAAAGGGGAAAATTGTTAGAAACAAGTGTACTTAGATTTTGATGATACCAAACTCACTAGGAATTTAGACCCTTCTTTTACTCTCGTTATTTTGTACCTTTCGTGTTAGGCGAAAGTTGTCCGTGCTCATTTCATGATTCTTGCTTAGCAGATTGTATACTCGAATTAGAGCACTTAGTAGTCAGCTGAGACAGATTGAAGAGAAGATAAGATCAAGAGAAGATCGAGAGATCAGCTAAGACTGAAACCTGGAAGGGTTTATCTCTCATGTAACTATCAAATATAAAGAAAAATCATTTAATCCAGGAAGATAACGAAGGATAAGGTCAATCGTTCGTTACCAGAACCCGAGACTATGAGTCAAAGGCTGACTTGATCATACAACTTCCATATGATTATTCAGAAGCATATTTGTCCAAGTCTCAATGCTAGGTAAATCATTCTAGATAAATGGTGTCCTAGGAATGATATTTCAAATATCAAGGAGCATTAAATGATTGGTACTTTTGTCAGTACAAAAGGACAAAAATGTAGGTCACATTTTGAAGCCAACAGCTACACAGTACAGCCACATTAAAGTCTCCTTGCCCAGTGGTTATTACACGTCGGTTAATCGGTTTGAAATTTCATCTCCCTCCAACGGATGAATTTTTCACCCTATAAATACCCCTCTTCATCACATTAAGAAGGTGCTGGTTTTTATCACTCTTTGCTATCAGAAAAGCTTTCAAATCGTCCAATTTCTTACAAGCTTTCTGCTTTCCTAACCAGTGTGTAGTTGTGAAGATTCTTCTAAAAGATCATCTAGCTATCTAAATCTTCACAACATCAAAGAAATCTTGCACAGTTTATAGGAAGATCAAGCTTCATCAAAGTCAATATTTCAAGTTGGAAATCCATCAAACTGTTTCCAACCCTCAACTCTGAAAAAGAATTTGATAGAGGCAGAGTAAACTCGGAAGGAGTTGAAAAACCTAGCATGTTGTTGTCCGACTTAGTGATCAAGGAAGCAAGCTTGGCTTAGTTTGTACTAGGAGTGATAATGCAACCCTTTCACGAGTTGTGAAAGAAGAGTGGAGTAGGCTTTGTTAATAACCGAACCACTATAAAAATCCCTCTCTCCCTCTTTACTTATCGCTACTTAACTGCCTTGCATTGCATACTCATCCATCTACGTTAAACTTCTTCGAAAGAAAAACGTGCAAAGAATATTAAAAGAAACGCATAATTTCCGATGTGCATTGCTCTTTCAAGAAAGTTTCAAAAATCGAGTAGAGTCTATTCACCCCCCCCCCCCTGTAACACCCCACTTTTCTTAAACTTAATTAACAAACTTAACCTTGAAAGGTAAGTTAAAGCAGCGGAATAAACATACTTAACAACTTAATTAGAGGTGTCACCGCCACAATCACCCTACACGGTGATTGCACAGTCTAAGGATAACGAACTAAATCATTAAAAAGTCTTACTAAACATCAAACGAACTAGGGGATAAACTCTGGTGTCCAGCACCATCAAAACATAGGGTAGACATCTACAGGTCTCAAAAGAGTAAATGAACATCAAGAGTTTTAGACTACACAAGCTATCTAATGCTATTCTAGTCTAACTCGTACTCTTTCTCTCACGACCTGGCCCACCTGAAAGGGGTTAACAAACAACAATTACAAAACAAACCCGTTAGCACGAAGCTAAGTATAACTCTACTCAACCCTGTAAAGTACTACATTATATAATTTTGGAAAACATTTGTTTCACATACTTAGGTCAAACATTCACATTCACTTAGACATCACTTAAACATGCTTACAACCTAATCACCAAATAGGCATGCTTTCACAATTATCTAGCTCATACTATCACATACTTAACTTATCAATAATCTCAAGTCTATATAATAACTCAGTAGCAATCACATGCTAACACATAACTCAATAAGCAATCTTGTGTTATCATATAATCTCAAATCAATCTCATGCTAACATATACTCATCATGCAATCTCATGCAGTCATTCAATCTCTAAGCAATCTCATATTATTAAATATCCAATATGCAATCTCGTGCAATCATACTCATTATACAATCTAGTGCAATCATACACATTATGCAATCTCGTGCAGTCATACTCATTATGCAATCTCATGCAATCATACTCATTATGCAATCTCGTGCAATCATACTCATTATGCAATCTAGTGCAATCATACTCATTATGCAATAAAAATGAACATGATACTTTTAGTATAAGAATAGATATATATATAAACTCTCTTTTGTAAAGAAGACTTTTTTCTTGTGGAGGTTTCTTAGAGTCACAATGACTCGCTTTCTTTCTCTTGAGTCTCTTGACTCGATTGCTTTCTCTTGAGTCTCTTGACTCGATTGCTTTCTTTAATCATAGGCGAGGTACGACTTCACCATAAGGTGGATAGACCTATCTGGGCTCGGCATCTAGCCGGCCTAATACTCATCTTGTCCGTAGAACCACTCTCTTGGTTCTTTTCTCAAAATCTGTGGAATTAGGTATCGAACTTTCAGCGTGCACACCCCCTGACCATGATTCCAAGCCCGGCGGGCAGTTTCCAACCTAGTAACTCGGGAATATCTACCTCGTTACTTCATATCGAATCGCAATATTCGTTTCTTGCCGGTTTTTAAACGATCTTGCTTTGCTTTCTTTCTTTTAATATTGCCGGTTTTTAACCGATCTTGCTCTTTTCTTCCGAAAGGACATAGTCCTAACGTGCCTCCAAAATACTATTTGCCTCACAATAGATAGCATATATATCTCATGCAATTTCTTTATTTATGCAATTTATGCACATAACTTCTTAGAAATTTCTCAATGCAACAAGAAGATGACTTTCTAGAATAGATATGAGTTTTTGAAAATAATACTTAGGCTCACTTTGGCCCCTTATGCATTTTAAAACATGGTATGCTCAAATATGCACTTTACGTAGAATATGCTTCAAAACTTCTTACACTGTGAACTCTCAACAATTACTTAATCATGCTCATAAAATCATAATTTAGCAAATTTTCATTGGCAAACACTTAGCAAGTATTCAACATGCTCTTGATTTCAAAATGCTCAACATATTCTTATTTACTGTGATCATGCTCTGTAGACTTAACATTCTTGGCAAAATTCTCAACAAGTCATCAGAGACATCTAGGCATGCATTTCTAGCAAAAACTTAACAAATATTGATCACATTTCATTATCTAATTCCATATAATTTTCATGTTTCTGACATAAATAGCCAAGACCAAACACTCTACATTTCCTTCATTGTAATTACTCTCAGACAATTCTATAGCATTCTCCTTCACAAATTCTATCACAAAATGCTCATTTCAACTCCAAATTCCATGAAATCAATTTCTAAACGTGCATCGTAACGGCCCCGAGTGTCCGAGCCTCAAGAGCACGCGAGTCCCGGTCTAAAACGACATGTAGCTGAGCCGCAAGAGCCCAGCCACTACACAGCACCTGCTCAGCGGGACTTGTGGCGGGGCTTGAGGAGCCCCGCCGCCTAGAGCCGCCAAGCGGAGGCCTAGGGCCACGGCACTTTCCTAGAGCCGTGTCCTAGGGCCGCTCCTCCACGGCCCTAGCCAACGGCTCCCTCCTAGGGCCATTGGCTAGTCCCGCCTCTCATCTGTTGCACACTGTTTTGTTCACCAGTGAGCTTGTTCTTCACCTGTAAGACATTTTCAGGCAGATAACCACTCCCAAAACATCAACAACACATCAAAGCTTAGCAATAGCACATTCTACTAGCTCAAACACACATTATTCTAGCATTTATACTCATTTCTAAGCACAAACAATGACTTCACATAGTCAAAATAGATTTGGGAGTCCATGGGGTTATACCTTTGTAGACTTCTTCTCTTGGCTGGGATTCCACCTTTTTCCCAAGCTAGCTACACCCTCCTTCACCTCCTAAACATCTCAAACAAATCACACAACCACTTACTACCAAGTTCTCAGACATAGAATAGAAGGAAGCTTAAAAATTGGAAGGCTAGTGTTTGGAGAAAACTTACTGTGACTAGCGTTTTGCAGAGCAAAAATGGTTGGGGAAGCAAAGAGTGGAATCAAGAGGCAAAGGTGTGAGAATAGCTCAATATATAGTAGCACAAAACCCTAGGAAGATCTCTCATGATTGGAGGAGGGCAAAAGTGTAAAGGGTTGGCAATAAAGTTGCATCAGACAAGCTCTTCGAGTGGTGTGGTTCACCATGCTTCATGGTCCATGGTCCAAAATCAGGATATTAAAAGTAGTTTGGGGTTGAAAATGAATTTCCCAAAAATGATTTCTAAATGGTCACTTGATTTAGGCTTCTCAGATTTCTCCCGGTTTCACTCAGATTGAATTTTCAGTTCAAAACTTGGCACGCAATGTACCCGAGAATCTAGGATTTTTGTTTCAAAACAGGTTTCGGTGTTGAATTTACTTAAAAGTGGCTCAAAATAATTTATTCAATCACCGATTCAATTCTAAAAATTTTATAGAGTGAAAAATGACTATTTTGGGACTTCTTAAAACCGAATTTAAAAAATTAAATTTTTGGGTTGTCACACCTCCCTCTAGACTCTCTTTGGTTACTACCGGGACCAACAAGGAACTTACAAGATCTTGTAGATAGAAATCTTGTTCTAATTTGTGGAGAGGGAAATGATGGATTATATCAAATGCATGATGTGACATAAGTTTGAGGTATAGGAGAATTCATCAACCAATAAACTATTGCATATCTCAATCAAGAATTTGCAGTTACAATGGTATAACTCGTACTAGCAACACATCTTCGCTAATGGACATCACTAAAAGACAGGTGCGGCGGGTGCAAGCATGCACATTTTAAGTTTTTAAGGGTATTGAAAGTAGATGAGGACATAAACTATGTCCATAATATTTTTTTTTGGAGATTGTGGGTCTAGTGCATCTGAGATGGTTAACTATTCGTTGTGGGTTGAATATTCATTGTCTGCTTTTGTTCATGTTGCGGAATCTACAGAAACTAGAAGTTTATAGTTATTCATCATGTGAACCCCTTGATATGTGGCATGGGGATTACCTCAACTAAAGTATCTCTTTGTTAGTGGGTCCTTACAGTAGTTCCTCCAAGATCAATTTATCATAATTTGGAGAGCATTAGAAGTTTGGATTATAGGAGTTGTACAAAGGAGTTATTTTTGGGAATCCCAAATCTAAGGACATTGGAAGTTACTACCAATCATACAATAATTAATAAAAAATCCAAAGCTCCCAAGTTTGAAAGCCTTGTCTATTTACATAATCTGGAAGAACTAGTGGTTGGACGAAAACATCTTCATGGGAAGTTTCGAACTATTCATTTTATGGGGATGCAGAGTCTAGAGAATTTTTTACCTAATCTTGAGAAGTTGGAACTCTTTGATACATTTTTGAAATGGAAGGATATAGATGTTGTCAGTATGTTGTTTAAGCTTGAGGACCTCAAATTGTGCAATAATGGTGTTGTTGATGACCGAAGAAAATGGGAACCCAAAGATGGAGGATTTTGGAGATTAAAGTTGTTGAATATAAGCGGGCATGGTCTACAATGCTGGGAAGCCACTACCGATCATTTTCCTGTACTTGAACATCTTTTCCTTAATGCAGCAGATTTTAAAGAAATTCCTAGTGATTTTGTATATATAACTACTCTCAAATCAATCCAGTTATTTGATTGCTCAAAATCACTAATATCATCTGCTGAGCGTATTCGAGAAGAGAAGCAAGAGTATGGAAACGACACATTTGTTGTTGAAATTTCAAGGTCAAATTTCGAGCTACCTACCTTAATTATGTTTTTCAATAAAAAAAATATATTAATTTTTTAATCTTTAATTTCCTTAATTTTAAAAACCTTAATTAGATAGTGATGATGTTTCGTTTTTCAGTTGGGATTTTCAGCCGTGGCTTTAGCTCGCATCAAACTATGGCTCTTAAGGTGGATGTTGTGCTCCCTTTATACTTTCATAATGAGTAAGTTTTCTTTTTGTTTTTGTTTTTAATGTATGTGTTATTAGCTTAATTGCGTCATTCGTAATGCGGAAGGTGATTTCATAGCTGCCAGATGCATTCCATTGAAGGGGAGGTACAAAGTGAAAGAAGCCGAAGCTCTGGGAGTTCGTGAAGCAATTAGTTGGATCAAAGAGCAAGTATAGGGATTGATCAGTTTCAAATTGAAATGGATGCTCAAGTTGTGTTTCAAGAACTGAATTGAAGGCCGAACCTGTTTATGCAGTTATGCCCCATCAGGCTTGATTGTCAATGATATCAAATTGTTAATTAGAAATCTCAATGTATTTTTCTCTTTAGTCGAACAATTAGCGAACAAAGTAACCCACAGATTAGCTCAAGCAGCTTGGTCTATGTCTGATTGCTCTAGTTAGAACTTGACTCCTCCTGTCATTTTAGACAGCTTGAAGATGGATTTCATCTGATTCTAATAAAAGCTTTTGTTCCAACAAAAAAAAAAAAAAAATTTGCTTAGAGATTAAAGTTCAGCCCACTCTATTAGAGAATACTTTTTTTTTTTTTTTTTTTTTTTTTTTTTTTTTAATGTATACCACGAATTGACGGGAAAGGGCTAGTACGCAAGGTTAACGCAAGGTAGAAGAACTGAGATATTATTCATGGTGGAAGAATGCTCATTGTCAGTTATAGAAAAAGAAGACAACTTATATCCATGCTAGCATGGAGGGAAAAGTGGTTACAACTAAGCATGTAAAGACTTTAATGCCCTTTGCTGCCTTCTTCGTTCCTTACGTACTACTATACACTGAAGATATAGTTCCCTCCACTAGTGGAATTTATGGAAATTTCCGACCACCTGAAAGTGATCTTAAATCAAGTTGATACCAAAAAGTGGTCGGAAATAGCAACAAAGGTTTTTCCGGATACCAAAAGTGGTCGGAAATAGCAACAAAGGTTTTTCCGGATACCAAAAGTGGTCGGAACAAAGCTTTTGACTTGATTTAAGATCATTTTCAGGTGGTCGAAATTTCATAATTTCCAGTAGTGCTCCAACAACCCTCGTAAGATGGAGTATGAAGATTGAGTACCCAGCTTATAGAGGAATGATTGGAAGAGAGATGTGGGAAAGGCTTTAGTGAAGCCGTTTGCGTTCTGGCTCGCCGAGGGAATAGGTAACAACTTGATCAGACCCTATGTGATCTTTTCACGGACTATGTGACAGTTGATTTCAATGTGCTTTGTGCACTTGTGGAAGATGTGATTTTCAGCTATGGAGATAGCTGACTTATTATCACAGAACAATGCAACTGGTTTCGACAAATTAACCTGCAAGTCTTGCATCAAGGAGGATATCCATTGCATATGATTATAATATTTGAAAATGGTGTAAGTTCTTTTTTACATTTATTCTGATTATTATATATAAGCAATAATTTGTTGAAGAAAAAAATAAATAAAATACTTCTTTTTAAGAGTAAAAATGTCAATTTAACATAAAAGAGGAAAATCCATCACTTTTAAAATAACTACTATTTTCACGTGTGCGATGCACGGAATGAATTTGTTATAATATATTAAGAATATTTGGATCGATATACAATTATTTAAATTATATCATCAAATACGGAGTATTATATAGTGCAATTGAAGATATGATTTGGATCGTTTATGTTTGTTGATGTTATCATTGCTTGAATTCGAGCAAGTAATTGCTTAAATTAATAGTTAATGTGTAGATGTACGCATGTGCTGCTGTAACTTTAAAGATTTTTATATATCATTGTTTAGGATTTTTATAAATTTGTCAAATGTGCTCGTTCTCTAGCAACTTAATTATAGTAATCAATTGCTATCCTAATTCATTTGTATAAAGGATATATTTTTTGTCTAGATATATAGAAATTTTGTCATTTTGAAAAAAAAAAAAACATAATATCTTCGATTGTATTTACACATTATTGAAAGCCTCTTTGTAGACGACATTGGTAGTCGCAACACAATATTGTCAATCATTGTCTAGAGCTAACACCTTCAGGCCATCATGATGAGTGACTTGGGAGGAAGCCACGTACAATTGTCTGTGATTATTAAAGACCAGTTTTTGTTTAGCAATAACCTAACATGAGTTAGTGTTTGACCTTGGCTTTTGTTGATAGTCATGGCATATGCAAGAATCAACGAGAATTGTTTACACTTGACTTGAAGGGAAATCTCGTATCAAAAGGAGTTAGAGACATTTGTGGGATAAGAACTTTGGTTCCTTCATGTGTCCCATTAACTATTATTGTTTCGACAATATGATCTACCAATCTTGTGATGATGAGTCGTGTCCCGTTACAAAAATCAAGAGAGTGGTCTATGTTCCGCAATAACATAACAGGTGCACCGACCTTTAATGTCAATGAATGATTATGAAAACCCGACAATCTCAAACTATTTAAGAATTCAAGAGTGTGTACTTCTGATAGATTTTCATTGTCTGATTCTGCCTTACACAAAGAGTCAGAACTTAAATATATTCGTCCTTCTTCAGTATTCATGTCGCACATGTACTGATTAATTTGATCAACCACATCTAAAGTCGGTGAGACGATCGCTCAGCCTTCTACCTGCGACTCATCAAGCATGTCATATCTCGAGCTTGGGAATGTGCTTTCCACTATAGTTGCTATGAGATTGTGTCGACACTTCAACAAAATTTTTCTCAGAATATTGATCTCAAATGAACCGCTATTTACAACCCTTGTAATCCCATCTCCGATGTCTGCAATCCATTTTGAAAACCAATCAACTGTATGTCTATATCTTCCTCTAAAGCTAAGGTCCGTAGTCTCAAGTTCTTGGAAAGTCTTAATACCTTGCAATTTGTCCACAGGTATGAAGAATTAATATTTTCTTTGACAACTACTGGTCTAGTTGCTTTCGAAATAACAGGTAGGATATGTTTAAAATCGCAGCCCAAAACTATTATCTTTCCACCAAAAGTATTTTTAGCACTACCTGGTATGGCAAACCTCAATAGATCCCTCATGCATGGTTTTGTCCAAAGCCTCAAAATAGTTTTTGTGCGTCATCAGTGTTTCATCCCATATTATCAATTTGCTCCGATCCTTATTATAAGCTCAGCAAGGTCACTGCCTTGTGATATATTGCGCATGGGATGGAATCTTCTTTCAAAGAGAGTGATATAGCAAATCTAGAATGCGCCGTCCTGCCTCCCGGCCAGGAGCAAAGATGCTATTCCACTGGAAGCAACATTCAAAAGAATATCATCGTGGCTCCTTATCTTTGACGATAGCATTCTCCACACGAACGTCTTGCATGTTCTTCCGTAACCATACACAAAGAACAATCCACCTCCATTGGAATCAATATCATTCATCACAGAGTCGTAAACATTCTTTTACTCGTCGGTCAATTGTGTTATCAATGTTTCATGCTTTGTCTTTAATGATTCTTTGTCATAGCCAACTCTTCAGCTATCAACATGCTTTCACTCAAACCTATGCTAGTTTCGTCTGGAATTGGCATTTCTGAAAAGTCTTTCACGCTCTTCCCCTACAAAGATAGCAACTTCTCCAACACCACCAAAGCAAACTATTTTTTATCTGACAGAAAGTCGAATTAATAGATTGGAGTAAAATAAATATCATCGATTCAATATTGAATAGTGATAGAAAAATAGGAATATGAATTTTAATATTAAATATATTATTTGTTGTTATAATTTATATTTTTTTTTTGAATGCTACTGGCTCTATTACATTGTAGTATCTGTTCATATACTTTCTCAACCTACTGAAACACAAAGAACCAATAACGCCTCCACTTAGGCTCGAACTCATAATCTTCCAAATGAAAGTCCAACCCGGATACCATTAGACCACATAATCCTGGTGTTGTTATAATTTATATAATTGTATATTGATTCAAATATTCTTAAAATTTTAGTATTTTCACACTTGCGTTGCGCGAAATTGATTTGTTATAATATTTACAAATATTTGAATCGATAACAATGATATAGATTATAATAACAAATGTTATATTGTGAAATTGATTAAATGGGTTGGATCAATTATGTTTTTTTTTTTTTTTTTTTTTTTTTTTTTTTATGTTATCATTGCTAGAATTCAAGCAAATAATTGCCCAATTACCCATGCGATGCACGAATAAAATTTTTATTATGTATTTAGATAATAAAATTAAAGATGAAACTATAAACAATTTTAATATTCAAAAATGTACATTTATTTGATTATAAGATAAGTGTAAAAATATCACTCAATTAATTGAATAATATATGATTCGTTTGTCTGCAATTATCTTTAAAAAATCGATATGTAGTATGATTTATGTAATTATATTATTACTAAAATAAATAGGACTAAAAAGTATAAATAATTTAATTATAATTATTATAAAAATAACTCTAATGATCCATTTTAACTTAATTATCATAATTATTATTAATCAATTATACTAATATCTGTTCAATTATACTTTTATACTTTAAGTATATTCCTTTTCACCATATCGCCTTTACTTTTTTTTTTCTTCCCCACACACACACACACACACACATATATATATATGTGTGTGTGTGTGTGTGTGTGTGTGTGGATTAATTGTAATTATTATATAAAAAAAATTCAACAACCCATGTTTATACTAATATCCTTGTAATTATTAGTTTAATTAACATACTAACTAGTATTTGCACCCGTGCGATGCACGGTTATAAATCTAAGAAGTAATACGTAATGCCTTACAATTAAAAGTAATAGTATGAACTGCTATTTTTATTACACATTATTGAAAACTTCTTTATATACGACATTTGTAGTCATATTTTTGGATTGTACATTTTCATCACAAATCAACATTTTTAATCCGCTAGGATTACTAACCCTTGACACCGCTACATATAGTTGTCCGTGATTAAATACCGGCCTCTTTAAAAATAAACCGACGCTTGACAATGTTTGACCCTGACTTTTGTTTATTGTCATGGCATATGACAACATTAGCGGAAATTGTTTTATTTGAAACTTAAAAGGCAATATAGGATCTGACGGTGTTAAGGACATCCTTGGTATTAAAACCTTTGTACCAGCCATTGTTCCGGTCAATATTTGCGCTTCTAAAACATGTGTAGCCAACTTTGAAATGATCATTCTTGTACCATTGCACAACCCCAATGAGTGATCAATATTTCTCAATAGCATAACGGGTGATCCAACTTTTAAAGTCAATGAGTGATTTGGCACTCCAGAACATCGTAATCCATTTAAAAACTCCGGTGTGTGTAGATCAGCAAGCATGTCAACATTGGAATCCGATTTGTACACCGAATCACAGCTTAGATATGTCATTCCTTCGGCAGTATTAAATTCATTCATGTATTCATTGATGTTATCTACCACGTCCAAAGTTGGTGCCAAAATTGCACAATCTTTTAGATATTTGACATCTCGAATTCCATTACGAAACCCCGGCCCGGGAATATTCTATCAACAATCGTAGAAATAGGATCCTCCACCGACCTGAGTAAGAATTTTTCTGGAATGTTGATCTCACATTCACCATCCAACGAATCACCAATAGTTTTGTCACCTATATTAGCAATCCACTTTGCATATTCTTCAATATCTTGAACTCCAGACTCTGATTGCAATGCTCTAAGCCGCAGATTCTTTGTAAGCCTAAATACTTTACAGCTTCTCCAAAGATATGATGAATTTATACTTGCACCCACTATATCTTGCCTGGTCCCCTTTGGAATTACTGGTAAAATTTGTCTGAAGTCTCCACCTAACACAACGGTTTTCCCACCAAACGTCATTTCAAAGCTTCTTGGATTTTGAACACGCAGTAGATCTCGCATAGTTCGGTCCAAAGCTTCAAAGAAAAATTTCTGCATCATTGGTGCCTCACCCCAAATGATCAACCGACTTTGCATTATCAAGTGTGCCAACGGACTACTTTGACTGATATTGCAAGTAGAATCTTCATTAACAGCGATTGGTATTGCAAACCTTGAATGCGCTGTTCTTCCCCCTGGTAATAATAGAGAAGCTATGCCACTCGATGCAACATTTAAAACAATCTCACCCTTTGACCTCAAAGCGGAAGACAATGCTCTCCACAAGAAGGTTTTACCCGTACCACCATATCCGTACACAAAAAACAATCCCCCCAACTCATTCTCAACATCGTCCAATACGTTATCATATATTGCCTTTTGCTCTTCAGTGAGTTGGTCCACCAAACTATCATTCTCTGCCTTCATTGCATTAATGTCATATGACAATTCCTCTTGTATTAACCTATTGGTTGATCTGTCCAGAAGCTGTAAATCAGGAGAGGGAATTGAAGGAAAGTCTTTCAAACTCTTTCCCATAGTTGTCAGAAGTAGTTTGATCTCCGAAAGTGCATAATTCTTTTATTGATCCTCAGATAAAATTAAATCTGTGGTATCATTATCCAAAAAATAGTATAAGTGTGCTTATAAAAACATATTGCATAACATGAAGAAAGACATTAACAAAAATTGAATACCTCCAAGTCCCGTCTGTTGTCTAATATGGAATTCTGCATCTTCAGTCAAATAGTTCCACGTAGCTTCCCACACCACTTCAGGTTTTGACATTGAGTTGGACATCAACAAAGTCACAAACAATCTTCTCAAATTAGCAGATGTGGCCCACTGACCTGCTTCTTCAGTAGCATGAACATACTCTTTATCGTCGTCTACTAATCCTCTAGCTGAACACGCGTCCCTAAAGGATTCGTACTGCACACCATTTACTGTTCTGATATCTGCAAAACTTGTAGGCCCTTGAACTTTATTCAAAAGACACTGCAAATAGAATATCTCGCCACTGCCAGGCGGCACATAGAAAACTCTACCTATTGAAAACCCTCTTTTCCTTGGATGACATTTTCTAATATCCTTTTTCCATACAAACTTCGTTGGCATTTCAGCATATGTCAGTTTCCTTGCTTCTGGGTATGTTTTGTTTGCCTCAAACCATTCCAAAAACATGCTTTGTAATATAGTTGGTCGACTGAGTATGTTATCAACCGGATCATCATCTGCAAAAACTACACTCTGTTGATTGGGTAAGTGAAAGCTTAACCGTTCAACCGCTGGTGTTCTTAACTGTATTTCAAAACCAAATAAACGCCAGGCAGCTTCACATGGAGATATGTACCTACAATCATAATACATACTTATCTCATCAATCACTTGCGGTTCATCTCCCTCGCTGTTGCTACGGTAGAACTCTGCGGTCACCCTGTCGTGACCCTTGTTGACGTATTTGAACAGGTACTTTATTGAACGGGATTGGTTGCACCATTCCACATTAATATGACCTCTATACTTTAGCAACAAATGCCTATTGTGTGGCACCACATAGCGATTGTCCAAATTAATCCCATTTCTCACCACAGAACGACCATTGTCACGTCTTTGATAAATAGGATAACCATCATCGTCAAAATTAGAAACATTAACAAACTTTTTGGGAAAGTGTTTAGTACATTTACCCTTAGCCATGCATGGAGAATTCAACCGAGCTCTACCGCAAGGACCGTGCATCATATACTCATCCACTAATTTGAAGTATTCTGGATCTTGTATTGGATCAGGTAACTCAGCAGAAATTATGTTGTCCAAATGTATCCCATGTGATGCTTGTTGTTGCTTATCCAGAAATAAAAGTATATGAGCGTGCGGTAGACCACGCTTTTGAAATTCGATGGTATAGATAACTATTAACATGGAAAAATGGGTTTTCAGTTAGAATATAAACAACGTTATACAACAGATTGCTTACTTTGATAAGTTCATAGGCATAAACAAATAGTTAAGTACCTCCAATGACGGGTCCAAACAACTTGTTCTTCCTGCATTCAGAAATTAAAGCATCCAACTTCATCTTGAATAGTCTGCATATTAAGTCAGGCCGGTCTTCCGGTTTTAAATTACGATCAGTCAAGAAGCTTTTAACCTCCGGCCACTTTGGATTGCATGTGAATGTGATAAAGAGATCCGAGTATCCAACCCATCTACATATAGACAGAGCGTCCTGGTAATTCTGTATCATGTATCTAGCACCACCAGTAAAACTTGAAGGCAATATTATTCTCTTCCCTTGAGTCCGAGGATCCACTTCACCGCGTGTTATTGCATCATTCAAGCAATTATATGTTTCGCACCTCAAACTTTTTTGGTGGGTCCTTATATAGATCAACCTGCCTGACTCCACCATTGTGTAGGCATCGACCAAAAATTGTTGGAAAATCCTTTTTGCATGCAGTAAAGTAGAAAGCTACGTCACTCTTGACTGGATGAGGTATGAGAAGTATTCCCGCGGACTAATCCTCTGACGAGCACCTGAACTGTTTCCTTTTAATGTTGAGAACTGGATGTCTTCCCTATAACCGTCCTCACCATAAGGAAACAATAACGGGTATTGCATTGGTAAGTACGCTGGGTTTAGTTCACATGACAAAATACGACAAATTATTGTGTGGACCATGGTCCACACATGGTTACGTGGAACATAAACAAAATACATTTTTAATATATAGCTAATGTACATACACTTTATAGTTAACGTACATTACTTAATATAATGTACGGAATAAGAACAAAAATAATGTAAAACACCATGGTCCACACAATGTTATGTGGACCATAACAAAAATACATTTAAAATATATTACATGTACATTAATTTTGTACTTAATGTACATTACCTAATATAATGTATACTCAATGCAACCATAATGTACATCCCCATGGCTAAATGTACCATAATTTTGTGATGAGTATACATTTACTTGGACCATACTTAGCCCAGTTATATCAATCTTTTAATATATACTTAGCCCATTGTAATAGACACATAATACCTACTTAGCCAATGTAGAACAAAATATCTATAAATTAATAAGCCCAGATTCACTCAGCCCAAACCCGACCCTACAACCCAGACCCGTTAACATTTCCTTATACCCGACCCGCTTCTCCCTTTGACTATCCGGACTTACGCATTCGGACATCCTAGAACACCATCTCTAACCTCTTAGCTCTCTCTCTCTCTAACACTCACTCTGCTCGCAGACATACTCCCTCAGCTCTCTCTGTGTTTAACGCTCTGTAAAATCGCTCCTAAACACTCCGATCTTGTTCATTTTGCTCTATTCTTTAGGTTTTCTACTGTAACACCCCGTGTTACGGCCCCTAAAACCAATTAGTTAACTAATCAATAGCCCAAGAGAAAGAATAAATTATAATGATTAATTAGGGAAAAAGGCCCACCATAGTCTGTGGGCCCTCATATCTAAACCCAACCCCTAATCCCAATAGGATTAGGCTCTAAATAAGATCCCTAGATCTATAAATAGGGAACTTAGGAGGCACCTAGAATCCCCACCACAATAATCTCTCACCACCCAAAGAGCTCCAAGAATTCCCCTAGGAGAAATCAAGAAATCAAGAAAGCTTAAAGATCCTTCATAGCCAAGGAATTAATTAAGGCTAAGAGGTAACCCATGTCTCAACAAAACCTATTTTCATAGCTATGATTCACCCTTAGGGTTTCCCCCATATTATTGTGATTGGCGAGATATGATGATAATTATTGATGTTTGATGTGATGATCCCATGAGGGATCTTGATAATCTTGATATTGGGAGATTCTTGATAATTATGGAGTTCTTGATGATTATATGGAGTTCTTGATGATTATGTGTTGTTCTTGATAATTGTGTGATGCTCTTGATGGTTATGTGTTATTCTTACCGAATCTTGCAATTAGAAGACGAATCGTATCCTTGTTGATATAAAAGTGATTAGAACCCTAGGTTGTATCGTATGTTATGATTCTTGGATTGTGGGGTGGGGAAATCGCATGTTTGGGTGTTGATTATGTCTAGAAAAGCATGATAGGTTATGTGCCGTTCGTTCCTCGTATTTGATCCGTTAATTATCTACGTGTTGTCGTTAATTGCGTTGTAAGGTGTCTAAGCATGGTTTCGGGTTCCACAATGGTTCCCGGGGCGCAAAAATGATGAAAAGAGTCAGTGGGGGGTAGGTGGGGGCGTAGGGGACCCGCCACCTACCCACGGCCGTGAAACACCGCCCGGCAGCGGGTAGCCGGCGGGCGGGCAGCTGCCCGCCGGCGACCCGCTGCCCGGAACAGTACTTTCCGGCGGGCAGCCGGCGGGTGGCCCCCACCCACCGGCTACCCGCTGGAATTTCCCCCACCTTGGGTTCCCGGCTTCCCCGTTTGATGTTCCCCTGTTCCCCGTGGTGTCCCAACGGACTCCGTTTATCGTGCCTATGTCTAGTTTGATGTTTCGGGTACCGTTCGTAGGTTTATGAGTCTATTATATTGCATGCTAGTTGAATTGGTATCCCGTTGACCTTGGTGGAAGGAGTATCACTACAAGAAAAATCTCGATTTGCGACGGAATTTTTCCGTCGCGAATCGCGTTTTGCAACAGAATTTTGCATTTTCGCAACGGAATTCATTCCGTAGTCTCCAGGCTTGTAGTATTCCATTCCGTGACGGAAATAATCCGTCACAAGCGGTGGCGACAGAAAACAGCAACGGAATTTTCCGTCGTGAAGTTGGCTACGAAAATCATTCCGTCGTGAGTCTGTCGCGATTTTGGTAACGGAAATCTTTCCTTCCGTCGCCATCGTGTGAGAAAATATTCCGTCGCGAAACTCATATTCCGTCGCACATCGTCGTGAAATATAACAACGAAAATAATTGTCATCGCGATTCCATCGCTAACCTTTCCGTTGTAAATTTTGTATTCCGTCACGAAATTCCGCCGTAACAAAACAACATAACAAACTGTCGTCGCAATTCCATCGCTAGATATTTTGTCGCAAAATTTGTTTTCCATTCCGACATTTCGTCGTAATAAAGTAATAAAACTAATTACTGTCGCAATTTCATTACATTTTGGGCGACAGTAATCTTCTCGTCACCAATTTCGTGGTCACAACGACAACGAATATTCTATTGCTAAAATCACATTTAATTGCTATTCTTCTAAATTATTAATTTTTTAATATTTCAGTAATTATTATTATTATGTTAAAATTCAAAGGTGAGTATATAAAATGTTAATATGCAATTATATTTATAAACAAAAGCACTATTAAAACTAAAATACAATATAATTTGTAATATAAAAGTAATAGTGCTTTATAATTCACAAATTTAATGGTGTACTTAATATGAAATTCATGTCTAAACAACAATATAATAATCCAATAATCCATAAAATATGAATATCAAGTCTAATCCACTTGTGATGAGGGTGATGATGAAGTACCAGCTCTCTCACATTCAAGAGATCCAATCTTTACTGAAGCATAGAAAAGCTATTGTGTTAGCATTAATTGGACCACAAATGATGCTACCATATTAGCCTATAAACTCTTCTATACTTATCATGCCCGCCAACCGCAACATAGTCCTGATTTAAAAAAAAAAAAATGATTAAGACTCTTGGGAAGAAGTCAAGAAAACAACTTAACTATTCTATATGTAAAGATTATAAATTTACAAATTTACTTGAACCTAATCACTTTTTTATTAGTTATTTCCTTAAACAAGCTATAACAACTACGTTTTTCAAAAACAAAAAAGCTATAACAACTACGATCTAATATGATATGAGAGGCTAAGAGATAAATCCTACAATATTTAACATTAGAAATGGAGAATTAGAATTATACGTTTCCCTATAAATCAATATCAATCATGCAAGGACATACATGCAGAACGTACAAACTATGTTGTGCAATCTGCAGTAGCAATCATAATCAATTTCAAGCATTCATGAGGAATATATATATATATATAGGGTTGCAAAAATCGCGCCTAGGCGCTAGGCTCTAGGAGGCCACCGCGAGGAATGGTCTCGGCGGCCTCCTAAGCGGCCAGTCGGTTCGGCAGTTCGGTAAATTTTTATTTTTTTATTTTTTAATGTCGGAAAAGTTTCGGAAGGCATAACTTTTGACTCGGTTGTCCGATTTGGACAATTTTTTTTTAAATCGCGTATTTTTTCAAGATCTATACACCGCAAACAGCCGAAGGCAGTTTGGTCCACTAATTTCTCAAAAAAATGCTTCTTTAGCTCTTAATTTTAGTTTTTTTTTTTATTTATTTAGATGATTTAAACAATTTTTTAAACAATCTTACAACCACTTTTGTAAATAGTTTCTAAGAAATAACTATGAAAACCTTATGTTTTAGTACTAAATTTTGAAAACTTTTAATTTTAAAATTTTTTTTAATTAAAAAAAATAAAAAAAAAATAAAAACAAAATAAAAAATCGACGCCTAGGCGCCCTAGGCGCGGGCGCCCCCTTGGCGCCTAGGGGGCGCCTAACGTTTTTTGCAACATTGTATATATACATATAATCAGCTCTTAAACAAAGATATATAGTAACTACCTGAACCTGAGCTATCCATATAAAACCTTCAGAATGCAACATTGACAAAACCATATATATACATTCCCATTACATATTCCAGTTCTGGTTACAATACAAATAGATATAGGAGTAGACACCTATTTCACATTTACACTAACAGATTAAATAATTAATTTTTTTGGGACGGCAGTGTAATTCTCCTATTACACTAACAAATTAATTTTCTCAACAAGCAACCGAGAGACGACAAACGACGGCACATTTCTGACCACGCCGGCAGAAATTCATGGCCACTGGACGATCGACATAATACACCAGAATAGCACAGACGAGAGAGAAACCTAAAAGAAAACAAAATAAACGGAGAAATGAGAGGAGGGCGAGGGAACCTGTTCAGATCTGGGGAGACTCTACAGAGGCCTTCTCGGAGGCGATCGGAGAAGATGACCAGAGACTCTATGCAGCGGCTGACGGCTCACGGGGAAGGCGGCTGACGGCGACGGCGGCTGATGGTGACGGAGGCGTTGGCAAGTAGCGAAGACTGCGGCAACTTGGGTTCCTGTGGCGATTGATGAAGAGGGTTTTGGTTTAGGTTTAGGTCTGGGAGAAACTGTAAGATTTTTGGAAGGTTTTGGATTTAAGTTTGGGGGGAATTTGGATTTAAGTTTGGAGGGAATTTTTTAATATATATAATTGAAGTTATAAAATCAATTCTAATCAATTCGAATAATAAAATGATGTTATACAATATATAAGATTTTATGTTTTTTAACCTATGTTATATACCATATAATAAAAATAAAA